TCTAAATATCTATGTCCCTACATTTACACTTTAAACTTTTCAAAACTATTGAAAAATCTGTATTTCTTCCCTTTCATATACGTGAAAAGTTTATTCATATCTCTAACTCTGTTGAATAGAAGATGTCTACGGTACGATGGCCCTCCAAATGTCAGTCTCATAGACTGGAAGATGAAGAATGGGATCAATATGGATCTCAACAATCACTTTCTACTGAGGAAGAAGAGGGTGGGTCTATTGGAAGGACAATGAGTGAGTCTACTGAGGAAGAATACAGTTGTTCTATTGAAAGGACAAGGGGTCCCAACCAAGGCACAAATGTCTCTATAAATGGCTTAGGAAGGATTATCTTAGAATGGGATAAAAATAAGTAAGTCTGCATTTTTTGTTGATTATTTCCTTCATTTTCTGTAAAATATAAGAATTCTATGATATGTGCAAATAGAGTACAATAAGAATCACATTGTTAATGATTTTTTAGTTTCTGCAATAATGTCCGTGCTTTGGTTCTTTTTAGTTTCAAATGGACTTAAATGAATAAAAACATATTTTCAACTTGGTGCTTATATTGCATTGGTAGAAAATATTCAACATTATTGTTGTTGATCTCAATGTATTTGTATGCTTGGAGTCAACTCATTTTTATAAAAATATTTGTGATATTTAGGCAATAAACTGATCAAAATGGAGAAAAATTATCTTCAAAAGACAACATTGAGTCGCCTGGTTTAAACCTTTATTTTCTACAATTCTGTACTATTAGTTCAGTATTTCTGCCACATTAAGTCGTCTTGTTCAAGCATTATGGAGCAAAATTATCTTAAAAAGACAACATTGAGTCGCCTGGTTTAAACCTTTATTTTCTACAATTCTGTACTATTAGTTCAGTATTTCTGAAACATTAAGTCGTCTTGTTCAAGCATTTCACAAGCTCTGTAATTTGTTCACTTTGATACTTTTTTTCTTTCCAATGCAAGTTTATTATCGTATCCATATCACGTGACATTAGTGCTACGATGAAGGCTTATCTTGGAGGGCCTTACTCAACCTTTCGTACAGTACTAGAGGTAACAAGAACGCTCTCTGGAAACAATTTGAGATTTTTTTTTACCTTTCATTGTACAAATTGTGTTATAAAATCTGTTGATACTTCATAGTTATCATATCCTGCCCCTTTTGAAGCATCAGAATTTTCAATAGCACTAGTTAGTTCTCGCCTTTACGTATGTATTGGATTGCAAATGAAATTTCTTGAAATTTTTGTGTGTTTAAGTTGTGAAAATTGGATAGATTTCAAAATGTACTTAATATTATGATGCTATGAGGAGTCATATTTATTTTTGTGTTTTGCGTGTGAATGAGTTTCATCTAGAAATTCAAGTGGTGGTGGAGTACATTATACAATTACTTGTTATCCTCTCCGACCCCTTTTGAAGTATCGTAACTTTGAGCAACACTGGTTTAGCTGGATTCTAATGTGGAGTTGGTGGAAATTGAGACTTGCAGAGATGACAATACTAAAATGGTGTGTTCAGTTTTTCCTCCCTCAGCCCATGTTCTTCTCTTACTGTTAAATTATTGATCTAGAATAGTGGTTTTTGCGTTTTTGGGTTTTAAATTGTTGGCAATGGCAGTTTGGTTACCCAGAAGTTTATTCACAGATGTTTTTCTTTAATTTTCATTTACACTCACACTTTTACTGATAAGATCCACAACAAATGCACACTCACGCAACTGAAAAGAGACTAAGATAAATCACATACACATAAAGATTTTTCTATATGTTGTCTAATAACAGTATGTCAAGTTTTGCTAAACTAGCAAAAATCTAATGAACCTTTTATAATAAAGCTAAACTAAGTGCAGAACAAATAGTTGCTCCTTCATGTGACTGGTTAAAAAAAAATTACATCTTTGTGTTTTTTATCACTAATTTATTTCTCATACAATTCTTATTATTATATTAGAATAAATGGACGTAGAGAAGCAAGATGGGGTGAAGGCAGTATGGTAAGTAACCTCGAAGGTTCGACTTATGGACATATTTTGTGAGGCTAGAGAAGACTCAAAGAAGAAAAGTGGTTCTAAAGATGTGGTTGATTGGAAGGGACATGGACCACAGTGGATAAGCCATGTGCATTAGAACGGGCTTGTAGAAAAAAAATGGAACAACGATGAATGGAAGAAGAAGTCCAAATCTGGACATGATAATCGGCTTACGCATAAATCAGGAACAGTAACTAAGCACACATTCGGTTCGATAACAATTGTCGCGCACGAACATTAAATGGTATGTCCCTTTGAATGTTTTTGATACACAACTAATTAAATATATATGTTTTTACTTACTTTAGTTGTTTAATATATAACTTAGTGAATGTATGATCTATTATGATATATTTGTTGTTGGTTTATAACGCAAAGAATTAGATCGACCACCGCATGCTTCAAAGTTGTTTAAACGTGTACATAAACGAAACAAGGGACAAGGAGAATATGTTGATAATAAATCACAACTTGTTTGTGTAAGTCTATATAAAATATATTTGTATAACATGTTTCATATAGCCTAGATTATGACATATTTGTTTTTGTAGGAAAAGTATGAGCTTTCTATGGAGGTAAAGCATGGTTCAAAGCTATTATCACAACCTGATATAGATATTGAATTGTGGTGTGAAACAACACAAGGCCCAAGTAAAGGTGACTGTTTGTATGGTCTTGATACTTCCCTATCGGCTTTAAGTACATCCTCTAGATCTAAGTTTGCTCCATCAATGGAGTATGATGATGGAGATGTTAGTTTAAAAGAGCAGATTCACAATGCTTGCGAGAAAATTGATGAGTTAACAAAGAAAAAAGATTATATGCTTCGAGAGATGGAAGAGGGGAGGCGAGAGCGTATAGAATTCGAAAAACAAATGGAAGAAAAGAGGCATGAAGACGAAAGGGAGCATATAGAGTTCGAAAAAATGATCATGAGTAAGATCTATGGAAGGCGGGCTCTTTAATCTTATCGTTAAACTCTCACAATGATCTTCAAGGGCTCGATAATGTCCAGTAGTTGGCCTATCAACTATATTTTTGTTATTTTGTTATATGTTCCAAGGGATACAATTTGATGCATGCTAAGAAAGTTTTTGTTGAACGCAAGTTGGTAGTAATTATTGTAAAAAACATTTAGTTTAAATCTATGAAATGAAGAATTGAAATCAAATTACTTCTAATTCTGTATTATTTTGTGTATATTTTAATATTTTAAATTCATAAGAGTAATAAATTAATATAACAATTTAATTTATTTTTACAAAGTTGCATTGAATTTATTTTCGTATGAAATTTTAATTACAATTACGGAATACTATAGGTATATTACCAACGAAAATTTTCGAAGGAAATATTGTAGGTAAATTACCAATGGAAATAGAAATGAAAAAAATCCATTAGTAATTTCTTTCGAACTATGTCATCACTAAAATTGACACTAATAACATCCATTCAAATTCATCGGTATTTCTGATGGATATGTATTTGAAGGTAAATTCGTCGATAATCACCAACGGTTATGTTGCCATCGGAAAAATTATCGGCGCGACTTTCACCAATGGAATGTGTCGACGGGAAATTTCCATCAGTAAGTAGGTTTATCGACGAAAGAATGGCCTTTAGCAACGGAAATTTCCATCGCTGAAACCGCATTTTCTAGTGGTGAATGATAGCAATGGAACAAAGAAAATGAAGAAGAAGATGAATATGAATATGAATATCAAAACAAGACTTGATCACGAAAATAATATCGTTGTCCTCAAACGATATTTGTCTCCTCCACAATAAAGCCTTGAATGAAGAACACCAAAAGCGAAGTGATTTTTCAAATAGAACAAGTGAAAATTTACGAATTGATTATGTAAAGTAACCAAATTTGACCAGAATTTTTTTGGATGAATAATTGGACGATTTCATATACTTAGAATGAAAACTAACATGTATTTATAGTTTTCAACAATTCCTACACGAGCTGGTTTCAACACAAGAAGAAGAGGTGCAATGCTTCACCATTAAACCACTAGAAAATTGGAAAGAATCCATCCCAACGGTCGGATTTTACTACTATGCGACCGCATAGGCTATAACTATGTGATTGCATAGTTATAACAATTGCAACCGAAGAATTCCCTGCAATCACACATGCCAATATGGCCTATGCGATATGGCCCATACGGTCGCATAGGCCATTTTTATGGCTCCAAGACTGATTATTCCTCCTCTTTTCAAATTCATCCATTCATGATCATTTTAATTCATCCATTCATGAATTCTCACGATTTTGAACAACAATTCCAATAGTACAAATCTATATCATTACTCTTATTTTAGTTCATCTATATTCTTATCCATATATCACAACTTTTCAACGTTATATATTATATGAACAATGTCTCAACAGAAAAAATGGTTTTAACTCTTCAGGCATGTGGACGTAGGCAAATCAAGCCTAACACAGCCGTCATGAGCCATGCTTGTGGGCTGCGTCAGACCAATGACAGTGCCGCTGGTTTGTAGCCACAGCCTGCATAATCTAATTTACATCTCCAAGTCTAGCCGCTAGCCATTTATTTTAAAGGGAAAAAAAACTCCTATGTACATGAAAAAGTGAATATGTTGCATCATACAGTGTTTCGATTAAGTAATTTATGAGCAGCAAATGTAACAAGAAGGATGCTATATCAAAATCTTCTATTGATACTCTTGTATATATCTTTAAAAGAATATCTACATTCAACGAAATTCAGACTGAATAATCGCAGACTATATGTGCCCCACACAAACCCTAACTAAAAAACATAGAAGCTTAGACGACATTCAGTATATATAAAGTGAGCTAGGATATTTCTCGTTCAACAGAAAACTATTTTTTCTCCAAATGAAATAGTACAACCTGAATTGATGGAGGAGAGTAATAACTGACTGTAACAAACCAAACAGGAAGCAAATATATTCTAGTTGGTGCAGTTGAAACCATGGCAAATGGAAACCCAGATGATAAGGACCAAGAGGAGGAGAATTCCGAGCACGACCAACTTTATTTTCATATTCTGATACCACATCTTTCTTCTGACTTGCGTCCCTGTTTTCTGGAATTCTTTGGCCTGAAAAAGATAAAGAAGAGGTTTAAGAAAAATGTGCATGTGGTTATAATATAAGAGAGGAGCATGTTTGGCTAAGCTTAAAAAGAAATATAATTTTAAAAATTAGTTTTTTACTAACAAAACATATTTTTCTAGAAAGCAAGTCTTAAATTGCTTTCTAGGGAAAAAAAAAACTCTTAAGCTTATAAGCCAAAAATGTTGACATACTGAATCACGCAGCTCTTCAGCTTTGTTGGTAAGAATGGTTAAGTTTTCTCCTCTATCAACAGCCTGGAAGGTGCATCCACACAGTAACAAAGTATTACTTTAATTATTCGGTTATAAATCAAATAAAGCAGGAAAAGACGGAGAACAACAACTCACGAACAAATGTTTATTCACTAGAGAAAAGTATTAGGTCTTATTCTATAAGTAGGGTATGGATCACAGAGTCCGGTATTCATTTTTGATGAGGTCGATTTTTATGCTTAGAGAATATCCATGAAGCTTCATTTGCATGCAGATGACAGAAAAATATGTATTTAGAACTAGGTGCATGCGAGCATCTCTATATGCAGTGTTCTAAAATGCACCTATGGGGCATGCACATGATAATGCGATCAACCCATTTCATTGAATGCATATGAGCACTTAAACACCAAAATGCGCATGCATCTGTGTTAAAAATTGTGACCAAATTAGCCAAGCAAAGCCCATTCCATTTTTATAACTTAAAAAAAGTAAATTGAGCCCAACAAACATCAAATTAGCCAAAATCACCTAAACCCGTAAATTATATACAAGAATGAACAATCTAGTTTATGTTCAATTTAATGCAAGATTGATGAACAAAAAGAGGAGGAATGATAAATTACAAAATTTACTTGCAAGTGATGCTAGTAATGCATAATCTAGATTGTTGGTAATTGTGATGATGATGAAGAGGTTGACAATGATAAATTCTCAAGTTGAAATAAAGAACCCAATGAAGATGATTTTGCATTTGATAACACGGAAGATGACTTAGATGAAGAAGAAGAAATTGAGTTAGAATTTGATAAAGAGCTAGACAAGATTTAGGATTTTTTTAAGCAGGTATTCGTATCTAATCTAATTGTAGAAATTGATTATTAAGTAATTGTAGTATTTATGATTTTGAACAATATGTTTTTTTTTTTGAAAAGTTGAAGAATATGCATAAAGTTCAAGTAATTGTAGTATTTAAGATTAAGCAATTTTTTTCTTTTTTTTTTTTTTTTTTTGAAGAATATGTATAAAGTTTAAAGAATGTATTATTTTCTTTATTTATTAGTTATAATATTTTAAATAATATTAAAAATTGGAAAATGCACAATTACGCATATGCTTCACATAGCCACGTATATACTTGTAATGTTGGATCGAAATGCATTGCCACACATTATGCATTTTAGAATCTTTTTTATATGTAATGAAGTAACTTTTGTTGTAAATGAGTGGCAACTAATGTTATGCCCAGGCCAATTAAATTAAAAAAAGGTTTGTATTACACAGTAGGTTCTTTATTAAAATGCACTAAAATATTCATAATTAATGAAAAGTATTTTAAAGAACTATCTATTTATCTAAAAGAATTGTTCTATTATATCACTTCAATTTAAATAACAGGAGAAAGTTCTTAAGAACCTAGCATGACAAAAAGAAGGGTATGTGAAATTATGTTGGGACATATTAATCTTCGTTAATTAGGGTTTAACAACATACAAAAGCTACCACATAATAGGCCTGCAAAATATTGGCGCTTAAAATAAAAATATAAAAGAAGAGAAGAAAATTTTCAATTCAATAGCTTGCTTGATAGATTCGACCAAATACTTCAATAAATTCTGTCCATAGGAAGCCCTGTGATGAAGGCAAAATAATAATTCTATTTAATTTCGAGTTTGTCCGTTTTTGGTGAATTGCTGGTCTAATTAGATTGAAAACGGACCAATGATCACAACTCAGTCGTTTAGGCCTTCAATTAAGCGTTTTTGTCGTTTATGGTAATTTTTTATTTGGCAATATCTTAATCAAATAAACTTGGATTTGATTTTCATTTGTTGGGTGATGATCCTGGTGATTATGAGAATCAAAATCCGTCATTATCTCAATTTTTTCCATTTTTGGAAAAAATAATATTTTCTCATTATTATGTAATTTTTTTGAATTTTCTTAGATTTTTCGCTATTTAAACGTTGTAAACCCTTTGAGGCAACCCAGTTTTGAATGAAATAAAGTTTTCTTGAATTTCTCTTCGTTGAAATTCTTTTTGTGTGGATTTTTATCTTTCCTATAATCTTCCCCTGCATCAGTTGGTATCAGAAGCGAAATCGTTCCACCATGCCGTCAAGGAGCTTGTGAAGCCCTAGTAGAGGAGGTACATAGACGTGATAGAATCACACAGCTGAGTCAACAAGTAGAGTTGCTGACACAGCAAGTTGCCACAATTATGCCGCAGCAACATGCTCCTGGAGGTCGTGATCGTCGTGGGCAGGTTCCGATTGAGGAAGTCCAACACCATGATTGTAATATTCAGAGGCAATTTGCAGAGTTAACCCAGCGCCTAGTGGCGCTCGATTTGGAGAATTGTGAGGTCTCCGATCTCGATTCTTATTCCGCAGTTTTTGAAAATCCCTACCACCAACGTTATCTAGCTGAGGAGGAAGAGTTTGATTATGAAGGTCCGCCTATATTTGACAAAGAAGACATTGAAGAAGTAACAAAGGAGGAAGAGTTTGATTATGAATGTCCGTCTGTATTTGACAATAAAGACACTGAATAAGCAACAGATGAGGAAGAATTTAATTATTACGGTCCGCCTGTATTTGACAGTGAAGGTGTAGAAGAAGAAGCAGAGGAGTTTTTGGTTAGTGATGTCGGTCAGGCATTGGTGGTGAGGCGGAGTTTTCTGACTTCCCTGAAAAATAACAGACTTTTTGCGTATTAATCTCTTCCAGTAGACGTGTACTATTGGGGAAAAGAAAAATGTATTGCTTCCAGATAAGGGTTCAATAAAAACAGTTGGGAATGGCGTCAATTTACTGACCAGAGTGAAGTTTGAGACAAATATGGAAGGATATGGGGTAGTGTATGTGCTGGTGGAAAAGTCAGTTGACAGTGAGCAAGAGGTCATTCGTAGGGTTCAGCCATTGCTAGAGGAGTTTCATGAGGACTTCCCAGAAGAGCTTCCAGATGGATTGTCGCCAAAGCTTCCATTTCGTGGTGATAATTTGGATAATGATGAGATTTCTTCCCCGTCAAATTCGAGGGCGAATTTTTCTCAACCCGGGGAGAATGATGAAAGTAAAATAATAATTCTATTTAATTTCTGGTTTGTCCTTTTTGGTGAATTGCTAGTCTAATTAGATTGAAAACGGGCCAATAGTCACAACTCAGGGCCAAAGGCCCTAAGCACATCGGATTTTGGGCAGATTCAGTCATTTAGGCCTTCAATTAAGCGTTTTTGCCGTTAATGGTAATTTTTTTTTTGCAATATCTTGGTCAAATAAATTCGGATTTGATTTTGAATGAAATAAAGTTTTCTTGAATTTCTCTTCGTTGAAATTCTTTTTATGTGGATTTTTGTCTTTTCTATAATCTTCCCCTGCATCACCTTGAAAATCAACATTCACGACCCATTTGCTTAAGGAAATCTTTGAACTACACCCCAGTTTTTACACCTTATTCTCGTTTCTCCTTTTGCTCCTTTCTCTTAGCTCCATTGAAAAACTCTTGTGCGTGTTTGGTACACGATATTAGATAGAACAAACGTTATTTAACTTGTATATCTTGCTTAGTACTATCTAGTGCTACCCAATCATCCCTCCCAAATATGTTATAGGTTTTAAGATATTTATCACTGTCAAGCACATGACTATTACTTCGCAATTTTACATGCATTCGAGAAAATAAACATTTTAAATGCAAAACTGTATGAAACATGAGATTTTCAAAATCCGCTTTGAATATAAGAGGAAACTGCTGTACTTAGAGCCTTAAGGTAACAAGAACATAGAATAAAAAGATCCACGGAAAAAATAGTAGAACAATTCTTTTAGATAAATAGATAGTTCTTTTAGACTATCTATTTATCTCAGTATTAGAGCCTTAAGGTAACAAGAACATAGAATGAAAAAGATCCACCGAAAAAATAGTAAAAGCATTCAAAAGCAGCAAACAAGCCCAATGCCATGTATATAACTCCATTTTATAGTACATACCTTATCTATATTCTCCAGCATAATACTTTTGACTTGTGAAACTTGAGCCTTCACTTTTAACAGCTTATCAATCTCATCAGCGTGGTCTATTGTATATTGCATTTGCTCTTTGATAAGAGGCCTGTGAATAACAAATTTGGAGATCCTTTACTTGTAATAAAATGTATAGAAGATTTAAAAGAAATATTTCTGAGCATACCCGAATTCCTTATTGAGACTCTTGGCAACTGCTGTACTTGCTTTACCGCCACCATATCTTTTCTTGAAATCAGTTCTAATGCGGTCCAGAAACGTGAATGAGATATGCTTTCCAACAGATTCTTTGGCTACAACGCAATAAGCTGCATGATTAAGCAAAGCAAATATGTCAGTTGAAGCAAAAAACTTTATATTATTTTCGATTTTGATAATGACAAGTAAAAAGAAGATGCAAGAGGTGAAGTGGTGGGGTGGGCTACAATGAAAGAGAAAATGGGAAAAAAAAAGTTCTAAATATCTATCTAAATTAAAAACTCAAGTACAAAACCATCTAGTAACATTACCCTATGAGCATTTGGCTAAAGCTTAAATAGAATAAAAGTCACGTTTTAGTTTCCCAACATGTTTTGGATATCTTACTAAATTCTTATTTCGAAGCTGAATCACATACTACTGTCAAAATGAAGAACTTGCAGATTTCCAACTTTGAACAATAAAAATATAATTTATTTTACAAATTGTTTACTTATAAGTAAACATTTTTAAGCTTAGCCAAGCATGCTCTAAATGTGTAGCATTGGTCCTCAATCTGTGAATCCTATTATCAAAACTGATTTAATAATATCAGAAGCAAGAGTGTTTACTATACTTCATCATTTGGCCACCACCGGATCCAACATTCAAAGCAGCTTCTAGAAATATGCCACTCAAGATTTATAGCGTGTCCATAGCTTTCCAGTTTTCACCACATTTTACCAAAGATAGCCACCACTTGGAGAACGGAAACTATCAACTGTCCTATGATTAGAAATGAAATTATAATAATAAAAAAGGTTACATAATGTTTTCCAAATGATCATTCTAAGCTCCAAGCTCCATACCTCCAATAGATGACAGATAAATTCAGACTCGAGGTTTAGCCACACAAATAGGGGCCTCAGACTTGGAACTTGTCTGAGTCGTTACTAATTCTAACTGGCCTTTTCTTAAATTCATGTCAGAGATTTTGGATTCTATGCTCTAAACACAGTCTAAAGGACCGAAAGTTTGCTAAAGGAAAATTTGAATACCTAAAGCATCTGACAAAAACATAGTTCAGAATCATATTGTGGGATAAAAAATTATCCGTGCCCTGTTTATCTACTCTAAAATTCACATTCTTGGTCATCTCATGGATGGATGACAATCAAATAACAGTCATAATGAGTGAGCTCTTTTGAACCAAGCTTTTTAGATTGCTCAAGCTCATCTTCAAATCGCAAGCAATAACAAAACCAAGTCTTATTCTCAATGTATTTAGGGTCAGCTTCATGAATCCTGCATTGTCATTACATTCTGTTGATTGCTAGATCTGCTGAAAATATAAAGCAACTAGATCTCTAGTAACTACAACATGCCACATTAGATTTGATCTACCCCTCCCTCTTCTAACATGTTGTACTGAGAACTATCACTCCTATAACAAAATCCTTAAAAGTATACACAAAACATGTCCAAACCACTTAAATCATCCTTCTTTTAATTTATAATAAATTATTGCCACCTCCACTTCTTGGTGTATATTCTCATTTTTTATCTTATCCAGTTTAGCATGTCCACATTTTTTCCACATTAACATTTTAGATATTTTGTCTTGTAACAACTCAACATGGCAGGCCTAATAACTATTTTTAAGAATTAGCTTTTAACTTTATAGGGATTTTCTATCACAAAACAAATCTTAAAATTGCTCAGCTCAGTGTACTCTTCAAGCCAAGCTTAAACGAGCTCTTAGAAACCTAAATACAAGCTAAGATGGAGTAGCATTCGCTGCACTTTTTTACTGAGCTAGCTGAGGCCTCCATCCTCAAAAAGATGACAAGTTCAAATATTTGTTTAGACTTTACATTGTTATCATTCTCGAGCTCATCTTGAATGATCTCCATCATTACAAGCCCAAGAATGTCAAGCCTATGTACAACCCCAATACATCGAGAAACTGATCTAAATCCATACGAATATCCAGCAACTAGGAAAAATAAAAAACAAATCTTCACATTAATATCAGAGTTCCAAATGCACATACACGTGCATTTCTCTCTGCAAAAATTGAATGAGCTAATATTCCAAATCTTTCAACAGTATGAAATCATTGTTTTTTTTTTGATAGCTTAAGCTTTTACCCATAGGCTACGCACTTGCAAGTTACAACTATAGAAGCTTATGACAACTCCTAACAGAAGATTTCCATAAGAATGTTCTCATTTATATATCAGTTGAATCACAAGCTACAAAATTATATTTGTCCTTGAAAAGTCATTACAAATTACCAAGAGACAGATGCATTGATATCCTAGTCTCAAAAAACCAAATCCTAAATTTTCTAGTGGCCTTAAAATATTAGGGGCCGTTCTCTTCGTGTTTCAGTTTTGTATTTTGAGTTTTCAATTCGTTTTGAGTTTTGAATGTCTATTTTGAAATTTTTGAAAATGTGTTCTTTTTGGTATTTTGAAAAATCATTTCCAAAAATTAAAAATGGAAAACACGTTCTTTTCCCCCAAATCCTGTCACGTGTTTCTTCCACCCTATCTCTCTCTCTCCGTCGCTTCTCTCTCTCTTCTCCCC